TTTCTTTCTTTATCAAATTTTTACTTTTAAAAGATTTTAATTGACTGTTATTGTAAATTATATGATAATTAATAAAAAAATAAAGATATTTAACAATAATATAACTTTAAAATATATTAATATAAAAATTTTTAAAAAAATATTTTTTTTTAAATACAAATGAACAATATATACTAGTTTTTATTAGAAAATTAATTCATAAATAATTATATAAATAGTCTTTACAAGGTTAACTACCAAATAAATTAACTAATGCCTATTGTGTTGATAGTTTCTTACAAATTCTAAAAATTCACATAAAGAAAGAGAAAAATGATAGATAGTATCTAGCTACTAGTTTACTGTTGACTAATAAGAATATTTGCTAGGATAGATGGTGATATGTATGGTAGTATGGTTAGGAAATTCGGGTTTTTGTTATACTGAGCCTGGAAACCAGTTTGAGTCAAGTATAGGCCATGGATCTTTTCTTAATAGGGGCCTTGAACTTAATAAGGTATGATCAACCTGTGTCGATCCTTTGGAAGGGATAAGTTGACCATTATTTTTGATAGAATTTTGGGAGATGGTTAAAACAAAAGGAGATCCTATTGTAATTACTCTTGAGTTGGATTATAATGGTGTTATTAAGTATTCAGAACAAAAGCTTTTGACTAGTTATTTACTCTCTGATCAATATTAAATGTTAGCCTAGGTTCTCAATAAGTAGAACTCTACTTTTGATACTATTGACTGATATTTTCACCATTGCACCTCTTCTTTATTTAAATAGCTTTGTAAATGGCTAGTGATTATGGAAAGGTATACTTGGAACTTTGAATATGTAGCCTCCCTTGCTACAAGTTCACCTCTCAATTATAAGAGATTTTGTTTTGATCTTTTTCATAAGTTAAATTCACTAACTTGATCAGAGTAAAGGCATGATATACCATGGGATTGATGGAATGGTTTGATAAAGAAAGGAATAAAAGATCTAGGAAAAAAACCTTGGAAAAGAGAAAAACTATCTATTGGTAGGAAGGGGATAAAATGAAAGAATGAGAATAAATATGGAAAGAAAGAAGAAATAGGAAAAATTTAAGGAGTTGAAAAAACTAAGGAGAATAAAGGTATTATTGTCTATAATAACTCAGGTATATACAAAGCCTCACTTCAGAAGTGTCTTCTTCCTAAAAAATAGTTCCTTTTGTCTTAGACATTTGTTATGTATAGAGTGCAGATCTGCTCGTACTTCCCTAGATATAATACCTTTCATGAACCAACAAGTCAGATAATAGAATCTCGTGTGATATTAGTACATCTTAAACTTTATCAATTGCATAATTGTTAGTCTTGCATAGAGTAAAGAAAGAAGGAAGACAAAAAGAAAACTTTCTAAAAAGGAAATTTTTTCAAAATCAAACTTAGAGACTTTTATATCTATGATTAGTTACAGTATATTTGCTTTAAGGTTTAATTATATAGTAGAGGACAACTAAATTTTTTAAAAAATCAAAATTTTTATTATAATTTAAAATTTATTTATTTAAAAAATATAAAAAAATATTAATATAAATATTTTAATTTTATAAAATAATTTTTAATTTAAATAATTTATATTTATTTAATAATATTATTTTTACTTTTTTTTAAAAAATTTTATATATTAAGTTGTATAAATATTATAAGTCATATATTATTTTATAAACAAATTATATATAAAACTATATTTAAAAAGTTAAATTTATATATATTAGTTTGTAAGATTTGTGTATAATATAATATAAAATAATAATAATAAAAGTTATAAAATAGTATTAAGTAAAATTAATCTTTAGGTATTTAAGTATTTATATTTTAAATTTAGATAGTTTTTTATTAAATTAAATATATTTTTAAAAAAAGGCAATTTTTTTTTTATCCCCTACTGTAATATGGACCATGTTATCTCGTACTTCTGCATTCATTAATTAATAAACTATCAATCTAAATTAGGAACTATTCAAAGATTTAATTACTGTATAAATTTAAAAATTGCTAACATTAAAATTTAACTTAAATAATTTAATGATTGATATAATTAATAACTTGTCAATTGTAATTTTATTATTAAAAATAAAATTTTTACTTTATTTCTGTGTGTATAATAATTAAAATGATACAAGATTTTCGCGCCCTAGAGCACCAAATGTTATATATACTGTACATCGCAGGAAAAAAAAAAAAAAAAAAAAAAATCAACCCTTTTAAGAGTTAATTCAAGTACATTTTATATTCGATGCATGTCGTTATTCCAAGATAGTTTCGGTTTGATATTTTTTGGTGTCCTCAGCTGAAATGGTTGGAACGGGGCAAACTTCTTCGGCTCTGGCTAATAGGGTCGTGACTTCGTCGTCTTCGGTCTAAAGTTTTGTTAGAAATCTTGATACACGAGCATAATTTTACGACGGAACAAATTAAACCTCATACCTGGCTAAAATCGTGATACCATTGTCCAATTCCTGACAAGGTGCGAGGTACCAATGGACAAATTGTATCGTCCACTTCTTTTCCTATTTTCGTCAGAGTGTCAGGAGCGGCGACTGGCACCGCAACTACAATCTTTGAAGGATTACTGTGAAAAGATGGGAACGTTTAAAAATTAGAAAAAAAAAAAATTTTTATATAAAAAAATTTTGGTTTCGATGTGTCTGTCGTACAGTTTTTTCAAGGAAGTGTAAGCAGCTCTTATCGTCGCTCCCGTAGCAATTCCATCTTTTAAGGGAAAAAAAAAAAACCCCCCATCAGCGATTGGAATACAGTTCGAGACCGTGAGAACAATTACGCACCATCAACCAGGATTATGATCTTTCCCGTAACGTTGGGAGCAGGTTTTCCTTTCCTGTATTTCTGATTGCGTCTTTGCAATTCGGCACTCTAAGTCGGAAATATTTTATAATTTTATTTAAGTACCCAAACCTACTACTGTGTATGAGAAGTATTTGGATGTCGCACTTCACGCTGAATGACGCGGTCAATTGATTTTTGATCAATGTGGAGCATTGAAATTATATCTTCATTAAAGATCCTCGAAGTTTCAGTAATGGCACCCATGGCCAATTCTTCGTAACTATTTGTTTTGATGACCATTTAAAGGGATCAATTAAACATATCTTCAACATTTTGAGACATGAATAACATTCCTATTTACCCTTCTACTCCGATTTTCCTGACCAAAAAGACATCAAATGGAGCCTTGATTTTTTGAGCGATTTGGAAGCCCACAGGTACGCCACCTCTAAAATTTCAAGGTATGAAGCTGACTTGAAGGATTGAGAATCACAAATAGATAATAATGCAGAAACAACGACCTTGGCAATGCCAATACAATAACATCATTATTAACATTATTGTATTTCTTTGCTACCTCCTCGGCCAAAATATTGCCAGCATGAATACGATTTTGAAATTTCTCGCGCATTTTATTCAACTAAAATTTACTGGTTACAAGAAGAAGTGAATTTATTTACGGAGAGAGAAATAAAAATCATTCGATTTATCATCTATTACCCACGAATGACGTATGATAACTTTTTACTTATTTAATTAATGGGGTGACCATTACGCTAGTCAGATATATCATAATTACATCAGAAATGTTGATTAGTAATCCGTCATTTCATCACGGGCTACTTCTCACGGATGGAGATAAATACCCTCGCGGATTTTGTCTTTGAATGCGAAAGGAAAATTGATATTGTTCTCACGAGCAAGCAGTCAATGCTACTTTCGTCACATGTACTCATTAACACGTGAAATAATTAACTAATTTTTGAACGCATAATATTACGGACTTAAACAAGTTAGAGTGCCCTATTTATAAAAATTAATGAACATTTAATCGTAATTCTAGCTAAATTTATTATAGAGAAAGTATTTATTTAGAATTTAAAAACTTGATCCTGTTAATAAAATCAAGGAAAAAATCGAAGTGTTAATCGGAAATTAGGATAAAGGTATGAAAGGATAGTTAAATGATCGATTTACCTCAAGCTTTGAAATGCTTCTGGATTTTTCATAGCCCAGCGATTCGCAATTCTTGGACATAGCATTGACCATAGGCAAAGGACCACATAACAATATTTTGATATCATCCGCAGGTCTAGGACAATATTTTTGTATCATTTCGGGAGTCACAAATCCTGAACCTCCGGCCCAATTTTGTGGGGGCTAAAAAAAAAAAGAAATGCAAAGAAAAAGTTCAGCAAGTACCAAACTTTTAATGCACGAGAAAAGTAGTTGGAATCATGGGCACCTTGTCCAAAGTGTAGTAAACTGAGAATTTTTCGTGTTCGGACGCAAGTGAATCCAATTCGTCTTTCAATAAAATGTCATCACTGGTGACATTTGCATAAATTAGGTTGATGCGAGTTTTGTCACGGGGATTCTTGCAAACTGCACGAATAATCTGATAATCTCTGATTAAAAAATTATATCGTGAAATGAATCATAATTGTCAACCCCTCGATGAAATCTTACCTGCAACATCGGTGTTATGCCAGTACCGCCTAAGGAGAAAATGTATTCAGAAAAAAATAATCTGAAAAATATCAAAAAAAAAAAAAAAAAAAAATCATATTTCACCAGCGATCATTCCGAGAGCTCGAACCAATCCCGGTCTATACTTGAATTGACCCTTGGGACCTTTTACCGTAATTTTTTCCCCAATCTTAAGTTCATCGAACCACTTGGATATGTTGCCAGTGGGATAGGTCTAAGAATATCTAATCAAGATAAATTATCGGGCATCAAATTTACATGTTAGAAATCCGAAACCCATTTTAATTGTCACCTTTACAACGAGGTCAAAATGACCAAGATCGTCGTCTGAACTGGTTGGCGTGTAACTACGTTGAATAAGTTTATCATTAATTTCTGCTTGCACCGATATATGCTGGAGAAAATTATTATGCCTTGGGTGAGATTTTAAAGGTGAATACACGTGTCTGCAAAAATGATGCTCGATAATACCTGACCGATGGGAAGACCTAAAACATCATTCGAATTCGGTAATGCGAAACGGTATCTGTGTTGAGTTTAAGGGGACGTGATCAACAATGAGATTTGTAAGGTACGACGTAAAGTACACGCGAAAAAGTTCGCACTACTTACAAAGCAACGTTATGGCTGATTCGGATCTTTTCCACGAGTGGAAACTGCTTCCATAGTCCAGGATCTAAAACTGACTTGGCTGTCGGTAAACATCAAATTCCATTCAGAATTAAACTCATTGCAATGTTCAGAGGTCTTGGAAGGGAAAAAATGGGGGCATACTTTTTTTCAACGAACTAAAATATCTATACCATGAGCCAACGACAAGCACAATTATAGGAACAATGAGGTTCGGGACGTAATAATAAAAACCGCCGAGGATGGCAGCAGAAATGGCGACCTCAACTGCAGTTTTGACCGATATCAGTTCGTTGGACATTATTTGCTCGGGACTAGCAAAAAAAAAGTTTTCGATGAAATTAAACGTTGCAACTTTTTTATATGATGATCTATCAGACCAGACGCGACGATCGTCGGATTTAATTGGTTGTGTACCGCTTTTGGTTACTTGTATTGGTGTCCATTTTTTACCATTCGTACTGTTGTCAATTTTGTATCTCGCTTTAACGCCCGATAAATCTCTTTCGAAATCCTTTTTCATCTAATTTTATCATTCATTCTTTATTCATTTTGGCTTGAAATCAAATGACAAAGCATCGACAATTCGCCAGACTATCATCCGAGAGTGAGTCTTCGTTCTCTCAAACCCCTGCTATCCCTTTACAAACAATTGCTCCCCCAGATCCTGCTACTATAAGCGTGAACACCAATTTCGATGCTCAACCTATCCTGTCCAATATCCCTTTCCTCCCGGTTTCACCACTCCGGAGAGGACATGATGCGGATGAGGAGTGGCCTCTCACCGAGATCCCACAAGAGTTGAGGGAAGCTGAAGAATACAATTCAGCTTCGGCAAATAATACGGAAGCAAATTCAATGCGCACCGATTGGAAGAGAGAGCTATTTTTATTGCTAGAAGATCCATCCTCAAGCAACTCGGCGTTTTTGGTCAATGTTTTCGTCTCTTTTTCTATAGTGTTAAGTGCAATCTTGACGACCGTGGAGACAATACCAAAATTCAGATCGACCTCTAGCTCCGTATGGTATGTGTGTGCATGTGAGAAACTATACTTGCCTTCATTGACTCGAGTCTCACGTGTATGACTTGCGTCTGTCATTTCTAGTGATCTTCTCTGTTTATTTTTTTTTTTTTCTTTAATCCTGACCTGTATCGTTTAATTGATGTAGGTTTAATTTCGAGACCACAATAGTCGTTATCTTCACAATAGAATACGTATTGCGACTATTTGCGCATTCCGATTCGTTCAAACAGTTATGGCGATTTGTAAAAAGTAAGGTCGATAAATCATTGACGTGAATCATTCGTCGACGCTTTTAATCTTTTGGGGGCATCCTCGTTTGTTCATGGTAATAGCTCCTCTCGCTGTCATCGATTTCATTGCAATCGTTCCGTATTATATCGAATTGATTTTTCACCATGATACGGTATTGACCAATGCTTTCTTTATTTGCAATTGCAAACGTGACGAAAACAAGATATTGATCAATTACTACTTTCACAGACATACGACTTTCGCTTCACGATCCTCCGTCTATTTCGTCTTCTTCGTGTATTCAAAGCTTTCAAATACTCTTCCACGATAATTATGACCATAGAGGTTATGATTGTTGCGGTTAAGAGAAGTATGGATGCTTTGGGCGCATTGTTCTTTTTCATGGTGACGAGTGTGGTGCTATTTTCAACTCTGTTATATTTTGCTGAACGCGGTTGGTGTCTTTATTTTAAAACTGGTTTTGACCGGTTAATCAATGATCACACGTTGATTAATTCACTATTCTAATTTATAAGGCACGTGGGATCAACAGAGGAATATGTTTGTGGATAGCAGGGGGCACCCGAGGTATGGTGATTTCACTTATTTGCTCGAGTCTTGATCATAACAAGCAATGTGCTGAATGTTTCTTGCATTGTTAAAATTAGTTCATTCGACAGTATCCCCTCGGCCTTCTGGTTTGTCATGGTTACTATTACGACGACCGGTTATGGTAAATATTGATTGATCGAACCTTTCTAGATGTCCTCGGGATTTAATTAATAGCCTTATTACTATTATCGACTAATTTTTAGGGGACATGGTTCCGACGACATTTGTCGGAAAATTAATAGCCTTCCCCGCCATGATGTGTGGAATACTGGTACGAATCTTTTCTTATTTAGTGGCCACTTAGTATGTTTCGTACTTAAATAAATTTCATTCTTGATTGTAGCTTATCGCATTGCCGTCTATTATCGTTGGAAGAAACTTCACTTTGGTTTGGGAGGCGATGCGACAGTACCGTCGAATGAACTCGAACACAAGGGTAAGCGATTCTTGGAGTTCGTGATTTTAACGACGTTCCTTTCTGACACCACGGTTATGACCCAATAAGGAACAGATCAGTAATGATGATACGAGCGGTGAAGAAGGTGAATGCATGCTGACCGACAACGCATTATTCAAGCATTTGTACTAAACCCCTTTATCGTAACGTTTAGGTCCAGACTTCCGAATAAGTTTCGAGAGCACTACTTCTTATGCGCCTCAAGCTTCTCGCGGATATTCTTCTACGAATGACGATTTGGCTGCCAGTCAAGACGCATTGCTGGAACAGATGCTCAAACTGATGAAAATCTCTCAGCAGAACCAGGCTGCTCTGGAAAAAATTCAAGAAGCACTGGAACAAAACGGCATCAAACTCAGCACTACCCCCGACAAAATAATAATACCCGAGAGGAGCGCCGCATATGAAACTTCCTGACCGAATAAAACTATCAAGCATGAATGATTCTACGAAGCCTTGAACAAAGCAAGGAATGATATTATTTAACGGAATAATAGTTTCTGTAAGTTTTATGGTCAATCGAACCCTTTTTAATACACAATAATTCTTTCTTTGAAAGGATCAGTTGTTTACAATCCAAAATCAAATCTTTTAACGCCCTGATTTTACAATTTATTCAACTAGGAAGTTATTTGCACCCGGACCTTATTGAGTAATTGTAACATAGCATGATTCATCAACGAATAAACGACACTTTTTTTTTTTGTTTCCATTTTATCATTATTATAATTAATAGACTCACTGTATTGCAATGGAGAATCGTTTTTGAACATAAGGTGGCATTGGAATCACACAAAATAGAAATAAGTCATTAAAAACAAGCATTCGCATACCCAACTATTTAATCGATTTTATTTTATAGCTTTTCTTTGTATTTTATATGTACTATATACGATTAGCAATTTAATAATATTTTTAAACCGGGTCAACTCATTAAATACCGAATTAATTTATTCATTTAGAAATTTAACTTGCTTCCTTAGATTCGATCCACTCATAGATTTTGCTTTGACGTGATTCAATAGAATAGGCATAGAATACATGGTTACTATTTATATTCATTATTTATATACTATTTATTTGTTTACGACTATTTTGTACAGGCTTTGCTTAAAATGGATAAATTTCATAAAATATTAAGAATAAATATTAATCAACAAAAAATGCACAAACGTAGATATTATACTGTATATAAATACAGTAATAAAAATAATGACAAATATAGATAAACCCGAAATGTATATTTTTTTTAATTCATTGAGGCATTAAATAAATATCAATTTCCCCAATATTATATTGACTTTCACACGGTGATTAACTCATTATTATACATCAAAGTTAAAGGATTATATTACTTGAAAAATATAAGAATTAAACAAAACAAAGTCTTAACTGCATATCTTAGATTAGATTTTAAAAGCAATATTTTATTCGTCTGATAAATTAATATTTGATTATTATTTATTGCTAATAATTTTGATATTATAAATTATTCTCAAAAATAATAAATGATTAAATTAAAAATTATTGAAAAAGATAAATAGATAAAAAATAATTCAAAATTTTTTCAAAAGATTTTTAATCAATTCAATAATCTTCTTTTTGACTTAATTATAATATTTTTTTAACTTCAAATTATTTGAAAAACTTGATTATTCTTGAATAATAAAATTTCTTAAGAAAATTTAAAAATTTTATTTTTTAATCAATATATAGTATAAATATTATATTAGAAAAATTTGTTTGATATAAGATTTTTTTTACTGGTTTTTTTATCATATATAGCATAAAAAATATGTTTGGCAAAAGTTTTTCAACTTTTAACTAATAAAACCTTATCATTATTCTTGAAATAGCTTGAATGGTATCTTAAAAAGTTATTTTCTTTTTATTTACAAATCTCTTTAATTAAAAATTTAATTTCTAATAATAAAAAAATTATGTAATAGCTTTATTAATAATAGAAAGGTTTTTAAAGAAAGAAAAACTAATTGTAAAGTATTTAAAAATCTTTTTATCTTTAAAATAAATGTTTATAAAAATATTTTATAATAAAATAAATTATTTTCTTTTCTTATTAATTATTTATTTTCTGTTAAAGTTTAATACTTATATAGTTTTTTAAATAATTTTCTTATTTCAATTTAATTTTAAATTTTTAGATAATATAATTTTATTAAAAATATTTAAACAATATGAAATATATTAGATTTTAAAATATAAACAAGTTCTATTGATTACAATTATATCAAAATACAAATAAAGAATTATAAAATATATTAATATTTACTTTTTATCAAGTTTTTTAAATAATAAAAAATCTTTTGTTATTAAATAAAGTTTTGAAAAATATTTTTTTATTTTAATTAGATAAATTCTTTTAATATAATATTAATTTTTTTTTTAACTGCAATTAGTGTTCATAATTTTGATCCGAATCTGATTGATCTGTGAATTGGATATGAATCAGATCAAATCAAATTTCAAAATTTTTAATTTGATCGGATTCAAATCAAATCGAATTTTAAATTTACAAAATTATCAGATTCAAATCAGATTCAGATCAAATCCAATCAGATTCAAATTGAATTCAGATCAAACTTAATATAATTCAAATTAGATATATACCAGTCCATATAAATTATTATATAATTATTTAATTTCATTTAAATAAACTATCTAAAAAATTAAAATCAAATTATCTAGGAAATTAAAATAGTTTTTTTTAAAAACAATATAAAAGGCAAGTTAAAAAAAACTCAATACTTTGTTCTTCTTAATAATTTTTTAACTTTTTTTTGTAATATTATAGTTTTGCTGCTTAATTACTTTCATTGTATCCTTTGCTTTGCTAATTTATTTCTTTTAAAAATAAAATATGAAAACTTATTTGATAGTATATATTTTGCATACGATGAAAGTAGCAGTTTAACTAACCATGACAATATCAATACTGGAAATGCTAATACAAGCAATCCATCAGAATCAGCTTCAGTTACCTCAACAATTTCTAGAAGTAAAGTATGAGAACACTTTACGAGGAATACAAGTTTAAAAAAAGACAAAAAGGTTACCTGTAAATATTGCAAGATAATATATACTTGTAGTGAAGGCAATACTTCTAATCTAATAAAACATCTTGAAAAAATTCACTGACAAAATTAAATATAATAACTGGCAATACTAAAATTGTTAATTTTTTTAAAACAAAGGTAATTTTAAATAATTTTAAATTTTTAAAAAAAATACCATTAATTTTTTGTATTTATATATAGTGGATATACGACTCAACAAAATGAAAAAAAAGTATAAAAAAAAAAAAGTCTTTCCGCTGATCCTAAATTTCCTTAAAAAATTTCCTTTTTCGGTAATTTTCTTGGAAAACCCAGAAGCCAGCCTC